GGCCTACCTCCCTGGCCTCCATAGACCCCGGAAATGTGGCAGCCTGAGGTGTGGTGGGGAAGGCCTGCCTCCCTGGCCTGCTGCTGCCTTCATGGCTCCAGAGACTCTGCAGGGGTCTGCAGAGGCCAGGGAGCCAGGCAGGTGCCTTTGGGATGGGCCAGGAGGTGGGTAAGGAAGTGCGGGTAAGAAAATAATATATAAAATAATGTATAAATATTAAAATTAATATAGCATCCCTACTTCGCGGATTTTCACTTATTGCGGGGGGTCCTGGAACGGAACCCCTGCAATAAGTGAGGGAACACTGTACTTACAATTAAACAGGAAATAACACTTTCAAACCAGGAACAGMTTTTTWAAAAATTATTATTATTAATAATAATAATAATAATAATAATAATAATAATAAACAACTTTATTTGTACCCCACCACCATCTCCCCAGCTTKCATGGGGCCAAGCCCAACAACACAGCAACAAAATAAAATCAGAACATAAACAACAACATAGTCAATTACATAAAACATACACTATAAGAATATTACCACCAATATGCAATAAAATAAAACCATTCAAGACACAAAACAATGAGCAGGCTGTATGTACAAATTAAAATACTGGGGATAAAAACAGGGAGTGAGATAGCAGTGGAGCAACTTATTTGTGAGGGAGGAACTCTTCCGAGATGGAGTCAAGAAAAAGAACCTTCATATAAAGCAGGGGTCCTCAAACTTTTTAAGCAGAGGGCCAGGTCACAATTCCTCAAACTGTTGGAGGGCCGGATTATAATTTGAAAAAAAAACCATAATTTGAATTCCTATGCAACCTGCACATATCTTATTTGTAGTGCAAAAAAACACTTTAAAACAATACAATAATTAAAATGAAAAACAATTTAAACAAATATAAACTTATTAGTATTTCAATGGGAAATGTGGGCCTGCTTTTGGCTGATGAGATAGGATTGTTGTTGTTGTGTGCTTTCAAGTCATTTCAGACTTAGGTTGACCCTGAGTGAGGGCCGGGTAAATGACCTTGGAGGGCCGTATCTGGCCCCCGGGCCGTAGTTTGAGGACCCCTGATATAAAGGATGCACTGAAGACAAAATTGAGGGTAAATGGTGAAATAAGATTATATAGTTATATTATTATTAATAATAATACCCCACTTTATCTCTCCTGTAGAAGACGCACATTTTTTTCATAGTGTAATGGATTGGACCTAAATTTGGTCATACTCATAGCAGACCCATTGAAACAACTGGAATTATAGCTAATCGGATATCAGCTGCTGTTCTCTAAGTATAACCTAGGCGGAATCCAACCCAATTCATTTAAAGTGTGGTTTAGAAGATATATCAGATAACGTAGTACTTCAGTAATGAAAAGATTTTTAATCGGAGATGTAGTAACATCATGATTGAGAATATGACTCTTTACTCTCTGGAATAGTAAGGGATGTTGTACTGACTAGAGGAAAGTGGATGCTACAGAAAGGTACAATGTCTTGCCAGGGCAACACAATTAAAAATAGCCAGCATTTTGTGCAGTGGGAAACTGTCTTCTGGATAGTTTCTTAATATACATGGTTGCTTGTTTCCCAGGTTCAGGACTGGAACAGTGAAATATTGGCCAAACAGAAACAACTAGTTTCCAAACCTTCTGCAAAGCTACATTTTGTAAACCGATTAAAAGGCAAAAAATACAAAAACATCACTTCAAAAGTTCTTCAGGATGCTAGTAATTCTATTGATCATCGACTAAGTTCACAAAAGGTATTTACTGGGTTGTTTTAGAACTCTGAATGTCAAAGTAGATTACAAATTACAGCTCAGCGATCCTTTTTGAGGCATATTATTATGTGATTGATTTTGGAAGAAAAGGGCCCCACAGGTGAGCTAAAAGTGTAATTCAAAGCACACTTGTTAGAAAATACTTCCCTATCAAACTCAGAAGGAAGAGATTATTATTATTGGAATAGTACTATAAATTGGCACACTACTTTGTATAAGATGGGTTATATATACATGAATTTAACTTTTAATGATCATGCCTGAATAAGCAGTTCAAATGCACAACTAGAATTGTATTAAACATACTTCTTGGCCAAGTGCTCTCTGCTTCTTCCTTGCTAGTCATTCCCTCTCTCATTCCAGTACCCTGAGTCTTAGAATTATTTAAATATTTTTTCCCAATGTTCGTTGTTAATAACCAGCTTTCTTAGTATATTTTTCTAAATTATTTATTATTATTTTTAGAAAAGCTGCTCAGATGCTCCTGGAGATGAAGGGTTTTTTGACTTGCTAAGCCGATTTCAGAGCAACCGAATGGACGATCAGCGGTATTGTTTCCAAGATGGGAAAAGGCTGACAGCAGCAGGGTCCTCCACACCATCCAGGACATTAAAAAAATGTAATCTACAGAATTGCAATTTCTGAGTGACGTCAGTTCTTGTACCTGGATCAAGGTTGGAGATGATACTTACCTTTTCTCATTACTTTGCAGCCTTTTCTACTCCTATGGTCTCACCGCACACAGATGAGTTTCTGGATCTGCTTGTGAGCTCTCAAAGTAGGCGGCTAGACGACCAGCGGGCCAGTGCCAGCAACCTGCCAGGGCTTCGTCTGAATCAACACAACAGCCAGTCTGTCCTTGGCCACTTGATGGCCAGCAGCAACAGTGAGCCAGATGAGGACTTTTTTGACATCCTAGTAAAATGCCAGGTCAGTCTTGTGATTGCACAAACGAACACATAATGTTTCAAGACTGCCATAAAACTCTCTTTATAATGCAAAAATTATGAGGGAGGGAAAGGGAAACTGAAAACATATACACCTCAGGAGTGCAATATAACAATGAAAAATTATTATTATTATTATTATTATTATTATTATTACTTTGTTTGTACCCCGCTAGCATCTCCCGAAGGACTCGATGCGGCTTACATAGGCCAAGGCCTCAAAACACAATACAACAATACAATACCTAAAGCAAATTAAAAACAGTTAAGCAGTATAAACAACAAACAATAAACAATGCATCAAGACACTATAAAACTGGGCCGGGCCAGAGTAATGGGTACAAGATTAAAAGTGCTGATGTGACAGGAGGTATGTAGGATTATAAAGTAAGTGCAGTGTGCGGTGTGCAGCAATCTTAGTTCTACTAAACTGCTTCTAGGACTTGGTATTGGAGATTCCTAATCTGAGAAGGCACATCGGAACAGCCAGGTCTTCAAGTTCTTTCTGAAGACTGTCAATGTAGGGGCCTGTCTAAGATCTTTTGGGAGAGTCGGGGGGCCACCACAGAAAAGGCCCTGTCTCGAGTCCCCACCAAGCGCGCTTGCGACACAGGCGGGATCACGAGCAGGGCCTCTCCAGATGATCGAAGTGAACGCGTGGGTTCGTAGACGGAGATGCGGTCACGCAGATAGGGTGGTCCCAAACCGTTCAGGGCTTTGTAGGTAAGCACCTGCACCTTAAATTGGGCTCGGAAAATAAACGGCAACCAGTGGAACTCCTTGAACAGAAGGGTTGACCAAGTATTGTGAATGCTCTTATTATTTGTGCCAGAGGAATATAGGATCTTCAGAGCATTTAAATGTTCTGTTGTTTGAAATACATATGATTGGCCTAGTTCAGATGTAACAACAAATAAACAAGTTGGAACGCTGGAACAGCTCAATGAGGGCAAAACATTTCATGACTACAGATATTCCCACTCTGGCATTTTTTATATTATGAAACATTGACAGTAGCTGTTTTCACTTTTGAAGTAGAAGTCCATGTTTCATTGAAACTTGCAACTATACGTAGCCACAAACATATGAAGTGCAAATAAAAGTTATAGAAGCAAAAATATTCCATTAGTGCTGCTGGGGTCCTAAGAGAGTCTGCAGCCATTCTGTGTCTTGCTGTGAGGATATAGCCCCTTGTGTATCTGATCCTGGCTTTATCTGTATAACCTCAGAGGCCATTTGGAGGGGCGGCATGATGGGGCATTGCTACGAGATCTCCATCATTATATTATATTGGATAATGCAGGATCTCTGTCATAATATGTGGTGCTTGTTCAAGCCTACTTGTGTAATGAGTGACACATACTTAGGTCATCTTCCCCTTCACAGAAAATAAATGTAAGGGTTACTGAAATAGAATGTGACCAAGCGTATCTTGTGACAGGTATTTTATTCAGAAGCTGAGGAAAGAGCAGCTCTCATTTGATTTGGAGGAATGATGGAGTATTCCATTTCTTGTTCATCAATGTGAAAATCTAATGCAGGGGCCCACAAACTAAGGCTCGGGAGCCAGATATGGCCCTCCAAGGTCATTTACCCGGCCCTCGCTTAGGGTCAACCTAAGTTGACAATGACAAGGTCAACAGTGACAAATGCAAGATACTCCACTTTGGCAGGAAAAAATGAAATGCAAAGATACAGAATGGGGGACTCCTGGCTCGAGAGCAGTACGTGTGAAAAAGATCTTGGAGTCCTCGTGGACAACAAGTTAAACATGAGCCAACAATGTGATGTGGCGGCAAAAAAAGCCAATGGGATTTTGGCCTGCATCAATAGGAGCATAGTGTCTAGATCTAAGGAAGTAATGATACCCCTCTATTCTGCTTTGGTTAGACCACATCTGGAATATTGTGTCCAATTCTGGGCACCACAATTCAAGAGAGATATTGACAAGCTGGAATGTGTCCAGAGGAGGGCGACTAAAATGATCAAGGGTTTCTGGAGAACAAGCCCTATGAGGAGCGGCTTAAGGAGCTGGGCATGTTTAGCCTGAAGAAGAGAAGGCTGAGAGGAGATATGATAGCCATGTATAAATATGTGAGAGGAAGCCACAGGGAGGAGGGAGCAAGCTTGTTTTCTGCTTCCCTGGAGACTAGGACGCGGAACATGGCTTCAAACTACAAGAAAGGAGATTCCATCTGAACATGAGGAAGAACTTCCTGACTGTGAGAGCCGTTCAGCAGTGGAACTCTCTGCCCCGGAGTGTGGTGGAGGCTCCTTCTTTGGAAGCTTTTAAGCAGAGGCTGGATGGCCATCTGTCGGGGGTGATTTGAATGCAATATTCCTGCTTCTTGGCAGGGGGTTGGACTGGATGGCCCATGAGGTCTCTTCCAACTCTTTGATTCTATGATTCTAAGTCTGAAATGATTTGAAAGCACACAACAACAACAATCCTATGACCTGGCCCTCAGTTTAAAAAGTTTGAGGACCCCTGATTTATTAATTATTATTATTATTAATTTTATTTGTACCCCGCTAGCATCTCCCGAAGGACTCGATGCGGCTTACAAAGGCCAAGGCCTCAATACACAACATAACAATACAAAACCTAAAGCAAATTAAAAACAATTAAAGCAATATAAACAACAAGCAATAAACAATACACTAAGACACAATAAAACTGTGCCGGGCCAGAGTAATGGCTACAGAATTAAAAGTGCTGATGTGACAGGTGGTATATAAGGATTATAGGGTAAGTGCAGTGTGCAGTGTGCGGCAATCTTGATTCTAATAAAGTGCTTCTGGGACTTGGTATTGGAGATTTCCTATTCTGGGAAGGCACATCGGAACAGCCAGGTCTTCAAGTTCTTTCTAAAGACTGCCAATGTAGGGGCCTGTCTAAGATCTTTGGGGAGGGTGTTCCAGAGTCGGGGGGCCACCACAGTAAAGGCCCTATCTTGTGTCCCCACCAAACGCGCTTGCAACGCGGGTGGAATCACGAGCAGGGCCTCTCCGGATGAATGAAGTGCACGCGTGGGTTCATAAACGGAGATGCGGTCACGCAGGTAGGGTGGTCCCAAACCGTTCAGGGCTTTGTAGGTAAGCACTTGCACCTTAAATTGGGCTTGGAAAATAAACGGCAACCAGTGGAACTCCTTGAACAGAAGGGTTGACCTCTCTCTGTAAGGAGCACCAGTTAACATCCTGGCTTCTGCCCTTTGGACCAGTTGAAATTTCCGAGCCGTTTTCAAGGGCAGCCTCACATAGAGCGCATTACAGTAGTCCAATCTAGAGGTGACCAAGGCATGGACCACCCCGGCCAGATCAGCTTCTAATGCCTTCTGATCTAATGTATTGACCCATATGCTATTCCCTTTTGCTCATGGCCAATGCATGAGTGCTTATGATAATGCTCATCTAAGCCAATAGCCATTCAAAGTAATGTGGCCAAATATTTTTTTTCAAATACCTAAATACTATAGGTTTTATCTTATGAGGATGTGATGAGACTGAATGCTAAAAATAATGCCATAGTGAAATGTATTTTGTCTTTTTTAGGGTTCTAGACTAGATGATCAGAGGTGTCCAGCACCACCAAACATCACAAAGGGACCAACTGTACCGGATGAAGATTTCTTTAGCCTTATTTTGAGATCACAAGGGAAACGAATGGATGAACAGAGAGTGTTTTTACCCTCTGGTTTGAAGAGGCCAAATTCTAACTAATGAACTTGGGAATCTTTTTAGAATAATAAAACATCAAGGGATTATGCAGTACTGTAATAATTTTTCATATGCGGTAATCAATGCCTTTAAAAGAGAGGGAAAAAAAGAATATTCAGAATACTATGTAAATTTACATAGCTTATGGTACAGTCATTACTGCCAGTGCTTGAAATCAGGTGTTTAATGTTTGTAAAGAGTTGACTGTATAGTGTATTGTCCTGTCTCTCACTTTCCACTCACCTCCTCTTTCTGTAAATATATTACGTACTTTGTTTCTTTATGGTGATAGCGCTTCAGGTACTTTGATCATCAGTTTATGGAAGCTTTTGCTGTTAAACTTGTGTCATTAACAAGCAACACTGTAGAATTGGCCTCCAGGTTTTTTCAATCTTTTGCATAGTGTGAAATGTTTTGAAATTAACAGTATTGCTTTTTTTAAAAAAAAAATTGAAAAATAAATCTTAATACCCATTAAGTCTGTTTTACATGTATCGAAATATTATGCTGATGGAAACTGAAAAATACTGGTCTAATTGGTCGACAGATAGCATGCTCCACACAGTCTATGTTGTATTCACCAATGAAAAGAATCCTAAATGGGATTGATAAAAGATCGGTGCCCTTTAAAAAAATGATTTGTTTGCTTTAAACTGAATTTCAAAAGTCTTAAAAATAATTGGAATTTATGGTATCTTTGGCCTAACTCAGTATGGGACCTCAGCTCCCAGAATTTCTGGCCATTGGATAAGCTTACTGGGGCTTCTGGGAGTTGGAGGGCCACAAGTTTGTCATGTCTGCCCTAACCTGTTTTTTAAAAAACTATTTATACAATTTCTTATTATAGTGTTTCATGTAACACCCATTTTTGGTCTTGTCTGGCAGGTGGCTCCATCCAAATATGTCTTGTCATTCTGAGTGCAAACATAAGGGAAAACAAATAAATAGGATATTTCGGGAGAGGGAGTAAATCCGAATAAGGAATAATTTGAATATAATGCAAAGGAACCCAGTTAGGGATGAACTGATGATTAATCTGAAAAAAAAATCTGAATAACTGCTTTCTGTGTCTTACGATGAAACTTACATCTTTGCATATGATTGTTATACTGTATTACTAATACTTTTACTAAAAATTGTGATTAAATTGAATCTTACTAATAATTCAAACTGTGATTTAAATGATTAAAATGGGTCCTACAGAAGTAATTTAAATCATCCTGGTACTAGGATCCTGCATCCTTGGAAGATACCTTATTTTTCCTTTGTGATCTCTGGCTCATACCAATGGGTCACTTGGGTCTGTGTATCCACTGGAACTTTAATGCTCTTACATAAGCATGCTGGCGGAAGCCAAGACATCCTTCCTCTTCACATGCCACCTAAACCCTCAGTTCTTCTTTGCCTCTGAAGCAGCATCCTGAGAAATCAACAGAACTTCTGTCGTCACTATAGTTTGACTAACTGATTGTTCTTCTGTGTTTTGGCCTTGTTTTCCTTGTTTTTACAGCTTGACTTGAACTCCTTGATTTATGATTGCTGTTTGTTGGTCTGATTTACTTTGGTTCTGTTTTACTGAATGATTCTTTTATTCTTACACTCTTTCAAGAGGTCTACCAAAAGTGGTGAAAAGATTCCTGAAAAGAAGGGGCACTTGAAATGTCTCCTTTACTTAGGAGAAGGGCACAAAGTCAGTTTCTGTTTATACTGCTAAGTCTTTACACCAGGGGTTCTCAAACATTTTAAACAGAGGGCAAGTTAACAGTCTCTTGATTGATTGATGGTCTATAGTTTTTTGTTATGTGCTTTCAAGTTTTCAGGCTTTAAGGCAATACTTTCACAGTATTTTCTTGTCAAGATTTATTCATCAGGCCGAGAGTGTGTGACTTGCCTAAAATCACCCAGTAGATTCAGAGCCACAGTCAAAGGTTCAAATCACTATGCCATGCTTTCGGAATTCCTGTTTCCCAGTTTACTTCCTTTCTTCCTTTTCTCCCTCCCCCTCCCCTTTTTACTTCACCTTTTATTTCATTTTTTTCTTTCCCCCTCTGCCACTCCTCCTTCCCATTTTCCACCCTCCCTCCCCTCTCCTTCTTCTCTCACTTTTTCTTTCCTTTCCTCTTCCCCTCTTTTTCAAGGGAGCTGCTCACTTTTTGGCAGGGCCCTCATTTGATAGGCAGGAGTTGCAGTTATACAAAGCCTTCTCTCCCCAAGAGTGCCCAAAGTTTGTGGGCAGAGAAGGCTAAAGACTTTGTATAACTACAGCTCCCATGATTCCAAACTTTGGGTTAAGGCAATTAAAGCTGGGTGAAACTACATGAATTCCACAGTGCCCAAAGACATGAACCAGATCTGGTGGAGGTTACTTACAAGGTTTCTTGGTATCTTTGATCTTCATGTCTCTGCACAGCTATGATCTTCTGGGGGGGGGGGGCGCAAACTTTGGGCCTCGATGAAACCTGGAGGATGGAGTAGAGGAGGAAGGAGAGGGGAAGGGAGGAAGGATGGGAAGGAGATGACAAGACCGGGGGGGGAGGAGGAGAGGAAGAGATGGGCCACACCGCATAGTCCCTAGTCCTTGCTTGGTTGGCAGCTCTGGGAGGAGATGGGAGCTGGTGGACAGGTGGTGCTCTAGTGTGTGTGGGGCTGCCTCCATGACTAGTCTTTGCCTTCCTTCTCTCCCCTTTTCATTTGTTTTTGTTGACTCTCAGAGATAGCAGCGCAGCTTTGAGAGTAGGAGAAAGCTGGGGGATGTGAATGTGATGAACATTCTCTCAGAGATAGCAGAGAGGAAGTGGCCTGACAGCGGTGTGATGGTGAAAGCCTCAGGGAAGGAAAAAGGACTGAAACATCTCCCTCAGCCTTTCTCCTATCAAGGCTATGCAGCCCATCATCCCTCTTCGGACAGACACGGGACCTGCCCAATGGGAAATAGTGTCAGTGGGGGCAGGTGCAAATGGTGCTGGCGGTGTGTCTAAAGTTTAGGGTGGGGGCTGGGTAAAATGACCTTGGCAGGCCTGATTTGGGCCATAGTTTGAGGACCGACCCCTGTTTTACACCAAAGGTCAGACAAAAACACAATTTGCATCTTAAGGTTTTGTGGTATGAAAAACTGCCCTCCCCCAGCACCAATGTTGGTGCCTTGGCAGTGATCTGGCAATAGTTCTACTGGATCTTAATTTACATTATCTCTTACCAGTGGGGGCAAGATTAAACAAGGCTTGACTTTATTTCCATGGCACTGGCACTTCAAACCTTGCTCAAGCGAAAATATGACATATTATAAACAACTCTTGTGTCATGAGATAAAAACAGGAATCAACCCTCCTGCTGCAACTAAATTATATTTCTTGGGGATAGTTATAAAACAAATGATATAGGTTCCATTTGTAGACATCTTTATTTTGCTGGTTAATTGCAAATACAAAAATGTTTAAAAGATCATTTTATACTTGAAATGTGAAATCAGTTGTCACAGAATATGTTTTAAAAATCTGTTGAAACTGCAGTATGAAATCAAATACCATGTAACATAATTTAGCTGTTGTATAAAATTGTGATATCCTTTTTAAACCTAACTAATATGTAAGAAGATCCTGTAGATATCAATAGACAAAGTAAATTTACTGGGTTGAAGGATGGTTGCATTTTACACTTTTAAAAGCAGATGCATTAAAAAAAATCCCTTGTAAAAAAAATGGAGGTCTATCAGGAAGCAGTGTTCCTCTGGCTTTGTTCCTGTAATGAGAAGATTTAAACGTTGTAAAAGCTTCTTTGCCAGATGGATTTGCAAACCTAACATCTTTCAAATGACTTTCATGCAGTAATTTTCTCTTTCCTTAAGTAAAGAACTTAAATAGATAAATCCAGGACCCTGGCATTCTTGCAGTAACATCAAGGAAAAACAATTGCAAGGGGGCTGGATACAGAAGAGGACTCCTTCACTTCCATGTACCATTTTAAGGGGGCTGGATTACTTATCCTTATGCCTTTTAGCCGGCAGTTGAACGGTAGAGGACTCCTGCACAGTCCTTCAGGCCTATTATCGGCTGAGCAACCGAGCGGCCATCTTTAAGGCCCTTATTTTTGGATTTCTTGGGCTTTTTCTTTAACAGAGCACCCTTAGGGCAAGTTTTCGTTGAAGGTAAGTTCAAAATTTCAGCAGTGGACCCGTCTGGGGGCGGGCTGAGGTAGAAGGGCCCTCTCATATAATGCTGCCTTCAGCCTTGACTCCCTATTTTTTCTTGTTTGAGGCGTAAAAGCCATACACACTGAACATTTCTGAGAGAGATGGGACTCCCCCAAGCACATCAGGCATAAGGAGTGGCCATCATTGTCTGGTAAATATTAGGACAGCTAGTACATTTTTTAAATGATGTAGTAGCCATGACTGAATAAATAAAGAATAGTCCAACAGTCCAAATTATTAAGCTCGCAAACGAAGGTTCTCTAGCTATCGCCAAGGCGGCGGACTAAGAGAACTGGCTGGCTGGCCCCGCCCACGGACCTTATATACTCGAGGAAGGGGGTGGGGCCAGGAGGGGAGCAAAATTCTCTTTTTATTTTCTAGAAGGTTCCGAAGCTAGCCTGCGCAGGCGCAGAGATACTATTATGTGCGATTCACAATTGACTACGACAGGAAAGAGTGAGTCACAAATACCTAAAATCAGGATCCAATCAACTGACTTCCAATATGAACTATAGCACTAGATCCCCCCTCCCCCTGGCAATAAATATGCAAAAAAGCAGGAATTTAATGCAACTGCAATACTTCCATGTTCCATGTTTTAATCCAATTATTTTTCCCTAATTGCCTCTACTCAAAATTTATCTGGATATCAGAGTTGATCGCCAACACAATGTTTGAAATACCCTAAGAACTTGTATACATTTTTCTGTTAGAATTCATTAAAAACAAAAATATCCTTAAAGTGCAGGAGGAATCAGAACCAACATAACTTCCAGATACCACAAAATATGGCACCCTAATTTTTAAAATCAATGTAGCTGTAATTACTGAACTTTCCAAAATCAAGAGAAGGCAGCATTTACAACCTTCGCTACTTGAATTTTAACACAATCACTCAGAATTATGCAGATTTTTTTAAAAAAAGATAAAAATAATGTTCAACATGTGCTTTGTTGATCCTGCTGCCTGGGTCTTTTCACCTGTCACAGCAGGCTGACAACCAGGAACTGTCATTGCGTTTGCTCAGTTCCACCAACTCTGGAAACCCAGAGTGAAGTAAGCTATGCTTCCACTTTCTGCAATACACAAAAAAGAATGGACTCTGTTCAACTTACAGTAAAACTTAAGCTTTCTGTTATCGTCTTTGTGTCTTCTTCCAAGCCACACGAGCTACTCTCTTTCCTCTTGATACTTGTCGACAGGGGATCTTTGATGCTTTTGTCCTCAAGAACGTTACACTTCGTTTCATCTCTGCTGCCTTTTACAGGTTCTTCTGTGTGGCAAGACTTCTCTACTTCACTAGTTTTTCCTTCATCTACACTCTTCTCGGTGCCTTTTCCCTCTATTTTTTCAGGAGCGTCATCGCTTGGTTTAGCATGCAGTTGAGTCTGTAAGAAGATACTTAGTTTAATGAACTATTTGTAGAACAGGCAATATTTGATCATGTAAAAGCATAAAAAAATCTCAATTTAGGCAAACAGACCCAGAAATGACTTATGTAAGGCATGCTTCCCATTTATTTAGGGGATCTGCTTTTAAGCATGGATAAATCTGGGTCTGACCTTGGATCTGGGATGCTTGCAGAGAGTTAGTTTCTACCAGTACACTTGCACTTTTGTCTAGGGCAGGGTTTCTTAAAATTTTCCACTCGCAACTGCTTTCGTCTCGGGAACTTAGGGATGTGGCTAGAGTAAGCATCCTCTCTCACAATGTCTTGTGATGAGGGCAAAAGCCATTTGCAGAGAAAGCTAATGTTGGGTACCAAACTACTTTTAAGTATAGAAGATATTGGAGGTTCACCCTCATGACCCATTAATCTGTTAGTTCTGAAGGGAGTGGCAAACATGGAGAAGACTGAGGCTCGGAAGCCATCTTTTTGCCCCTCTGCAAAATTTCCTCAACTGTAAGCGGAAAAGCTCTGGATAAAACACCCTTCTGTCAACAACAAATCAACTTAATGAATGTAAATATTGAGAAGCGACCCCTTTCGGCCTGAGAATTTTTTACATGACCTCAGATATTTATTTATTTATGACATTTATATGCCGCCCTTCTCACCCCAAAAGGGATTCAGAGCGGCTTATATAGATATAGAAGATAAATATAAATATCAAACTCATGATGATAATAAATCAGCATTTGCAAAGCTTGCTAAATAGGCTGATTTGGTCCTTTATGAAGTACATCTGAAACATCTCCAGAGTACACTGTAAGCACTGCACAGCAGATTTGTACAAATATGTAAAACAGTCTCGAGATGACATTCAGAAAATTTTCACTTGCCAAATTTTTGAGGAACCCAACTGAACTAAGGGGATGGGGCCCACAGTTTAAGAAACAGTGGTTCCAACTTTTGGTCTTTTAGACAACTTGCCAAGTTGGCTCAGGTTTCTGGGAGTCTAAATCAATTGAAGATGCAGCTTTTAACTGCAAGATAAGGTTACTTCTTTCCTGGTGTATAAAGATGGGGGGAATATTCCTTGGTCTGCAGTCATGGCTGAGAACAGAATTGGGTTTGCAAGCATACCAGAGCAAGGGGCATGTGCAAGGAGATACAGGACGTCTCTTTCCAGAGCATAAAATAATAATAATAATAATAATAATAATAATAATAATAATAATAATACTTTATTTATATACCGCTCCATCTCCCCGAGGAGACTCAGAGCGGTTCCCAGGTAACATCACAAAACATACAAAGTAAATACAACACAACCATAAGGTTAACAAAACAAAATATAAGCATACAAATTGTCGCCATAACACACATATATTAAAAGTAATCCTGCCTGTTCAAGGCAATTTAAAAGGCCGGGCCAAGATTTGTGCAAGCCCAAAAATTCTAGGGGGCCCGGGAATTAAGTGCAATGCTATGGCAAGCAACAATAATATTAGGTACAGGTCTGTGACTGTTCAAAAATACAGAGGCATAATGAAGGATATATGTCACCAAACAATATTCTAGTTTGGATATGATGAATATAACAAGCCCCATAACAGAAGGTAAATATTGCCGTTAGTAAATAGGCTCTATGCATTATGTTAATTCAAGAAAAGACATGCTATTTATACTCCTAGAGTGACTGAAAAAAACGTTTTTTAGAAATAAATCCTACAGAAACTTACTAAATGGACTTCACTTTTCTTTTCTTGTTCTTTTTCTGAATGCTTTTCAGGAGACAAATTGCTCTGAAACACAAAGTGAATCAGGATAATTAAATAATGAAGGTTACAGCCTTGTACACATTTATATGGGTGTAAGTCCCACTGAACTCACTAAAGTTCACTACATAGAATACATTTATAGTATAGTACTGCAAGTTTTATTTAAGTCAGTCTTAAGTTTTGTGCCTCTACAAATCATTTCATTCATCTCAGACATATTGAAATTAGTATTGTCCATGTCATCATATTTCCGATTTCTGTGTAAAGCTGGAAAGTGAAGTAAAGTTAAGTAAAGACTCCGTTCACCTTACTTACTTTCACTGCCAACTTGGGATGCTTCCCTGTTGGGTCATCTGGCATATCACCTGCTCGCAAAACCTCAATGTTGCGTTGGTGATAATCTTCAGTTGTTGTAGGCTGCTGTCTGTTTGCTGAAGCATCTCCTCTATCATAAGGCCCTCTTGAGATGTTGCCACTGTCTCCCATCAAGTAGCCACCCCTGTGTTTTGCCCCATTTGGTAGTGGATATTGAACCGATTCGTGCTGTCGTCCTTCCCATGGGGGAAATGCAGGCGGCGGCTGCTTCTCCTGATGACTTAATTGCCTTAGTGCAGTGACTGATCTCCCTGCTCCATAACAAAATATCTATAGCAGAGAAACAGATGATGAACACTTTTGACAACTTGTTTTTCTATCATTTTTAAAAAAATTTAAGGCTCTGTGGTTTTCATCCTTTGGTCCTCTGGGTGTTTTAGGCCTCAGCTCCCATAATTCCTAGCAGATTTTAGGTTGGCCAGGATTTCTGGGGGTCGAAGTCTAAAACACCTAAAGGAACAAAAGTTGAGAACCACTGCACATGATTGTTTTGAAAATAAATAGGATATTTAAGATTCATACTCATTTATGATTCAATTTAGGGAATTTCATGTTTAAAATGGCTGGTATCTTCTTGGGCAGTTACAAAAGCATTAGGTACACACACAAATTTGCAATTGTTTGGTATTGTTACCGTGACACTACTGCTATGATTTCAAATGGCCACTCAAACCAACCTTAATAACTAGCAGTTCAACATTTACACAAATGGCCAGCCACTGCCAGAAGGGACAGAGAGTTTAATCTATGCTGATGATCATGCCATTACCGCTCAAGCAGGGAGCTTTGAGATGGTTGAACAGAAGCTCTCCGAAGCTCTAGGTGCTCTTACTGCCTATTACAGGGGAAACCAGCTGATCCCTAATCCATCTAAAACACAGACATGTCCTTTTCACCTTAAGAACAGACAAGCATCCCGAGCTCTGAGGATTACCTGGGAAGGAATCCCACTGGAGCATTGCAGCGCACCCAAATACCTGGGAGTCACTCTGGACCGTGCTCTGACCTCCAAGAAGCACTGCCTGAACATCAAGCAAAAAGTGGGTGCTAGAAACAATATCATACGAAAGCTGACTGGCACAACCTGGGGATCACAACCAGACACAGTGAAGACATCTGCCCTTGTGCTGTGCTGCTCTGCTGCTGAGTATGCATGCCCAGTGTGGAACACATCTCACCACGCTAAAACAGTGGATGTGGCTCTTAATGAGACATGCTGCATTATCACGGGGTGTCTGCGCCCTACACCACTGGAGAAATTACACTGTTTAGCCGGCATTGCACCACCTGACATCCGCCAGGAAGTAGCAGCCAATAGTGAAAGGACCAAGGCAGTGACATCTCCAGCTCATCCCTTGTTTGGGTATCAGCCAGCAGTCAACGACTTAAATCAAGAAATAGTTTTCTTAGATCTATAGAGACACTCGCTGGAACACCTCAGCAAGCGAGAGTCCAAAAGTGGCAGGCTCAAACCCAGCACCTCAATCCGTGGGTGATACCAGATGAGAGACTCCCTCCTGGGCACACAGAAAACTGGGCAACTTGGAAGGCGCTGAACAGACTGCGGTCTGGCACCACGAGATGCAGAGCCAATCTTAAGAAATGGGGCTACAAAGTGGAATCCACGACATGCGAGTGTGGAGAAGAGCAAACCACAGACCACCTGCTGCAATGCAACCTGAGCCCTGCTACATGCACAATGGAGGACCTTCTTGTGGCAACACCAGAGGCACTCCAAGTGGCCAGATACTGGTCAAAGGACATTTAATCAACTACTAAGTTTGCAAAATTTGTGTTTTTTTATCTGTTTGTTTGTTTTGTTCTGTTAGAAATGTAATACAATGGTATGGTTGCTGATGACACGATAAATAAATAAATAAATAAATAAATAGCAGCATAATAAACTTTCATTCTTCAGTATGATTGCTGACTATTAAAGGTTGGCTTTTTGGGGAGGAGTTTGTCAAAACAGATGATACAGGAAGTCCCCAAGTTACAAACATTTGACCTACAAATGACTCATAGTTAAGACTGGAGGTGAAAGGAGGAAGTGAGAAATCTGCCCCTCGGAAGGAAAATTCAGTCCTGAAAAAGTTATCATGGGGAAAAGATGCCTCCACTGAAGCTTTCTTGACAATTCTTGTTTCCACAACAAGCAAAATTTTTGGAAATCATATTATCACAGGGACAGAAAATGAAGTGAAATATTCTGAACAGGGATACAGAGAGCAAAATGAACACAACAGGTGTGTTAACCCTTCCTGATGCTATCCAAAGCAAAATATATATACATCTTTAGGTGGAGTTACACTTATAAATGTACCTGCTCTGACTTACATAAAAATTAAACTTAAGAACCTATCTTGTTTGTAACTTGGGGGACTACCTGTACATCGTTACACGTAGAATCATAACCCCCCGTCATACATTCATAACTATGTCTGAGGTATGTATGATCTTCTACTTCACTTCCTCAGGAGCTTTTCTATATTACCACCCATCACTCTTCTCCTACAATTATACTGTAACAATATTCACTATATAACTTTATATTCATCTGAGTCTTAACAGACTCAAGATTGACTTTTAAAGAGTTTGGATTGTGCCAGTGTATTAATATTTGCTTTTAAGGCAGGTCCGCTCAGTGCCAAATGTTAAATTATGTACTGTTAGAATTGTAGAATCATAGAGTTAGAAGAGACCCTCAGGGGCCATCCAGTCCAACCCCATTCTGCCTTATGGTTGTAACTGTTTTTTAATACTGTTAAAATCAATTGTATTTTAATGTTTGTATATTTTTAGGTTTTAAATGATATTGTATTGGTTTTATTGGAAGCTGCTTTGAGTTTCTTTTTTAGAAATAAAAAGCAGAATATCTATATAAATAAAAATGTAATGTTTGCTTGTGGGATTAACAGAACTCAAAAACCACTGGATAAATTGACACCAAGTTTTTACACAAGACACCTAACAACCCAATGTATGTCCTTCACTTAAAAAAATTGATTTTGTCATTTGGGAGTTGTAGTTGCTGGGATTTATAGTTCACCTCCAATCAAAGAACATTCTGAACCCCTCCAACGATGGAATTGAACCAAACTTGGCACACAGTTCTCCCATGACCAACAGAAGATACTGGAATGGTTTGGTGGGCAGTGTCTTTTGGTTTTGGAGTTGTAGTTCACTTACATCCAGAGATCATTGTGGACTCAAACAATGATGGATCTGTACCAAACTCTACAAGAATACTCAATATGCCCAAATGTAAACACTGGTGGAGTTTGGGGAAAATATAATCTTGACATTTGGGAGTTGTAGTTGCTGAGATTAATAGTTCACTTACAATCACAGACCATTCTGAACCCCACCAATTGAATTGGGCCAAACCTCCCACACAGAAACCCCATGTGGGCCACAGCAACGAGTGGCAGGGGACGGCTAGTAAATAGTATTCTGCCATTCAGATCCTGCTTGAAAACCTCCAAAGAAGGAGACTCCACCATGCTCCGACGCAGCATATTTCACCACTGAATAGCAGTGTATTGTATATATAATGTTAGATTGTATAATTTTCTGTTTTTGTAGCTCACTATCCCTAAAAACTACTAATAGAAATGCAACTGTCTTTCCTAGCACAATTTGCTCTCTTACTGTTTATACTTAGAGACAGCGAAGACAGGTATTGGCTTATTTTGTTCTAATTGTCTGGTTAGGCCTTATATTGGCCAAAAATTGTCATCCAAATCCAAATTAAGTTGTATCTATTTTCATTCTTTTTCATTCATGCAAGAAATATACCTACCAAAACTGCTCCTGCCATAATGACCAGCACAGGAAGCTGTAACAACACTGGGATCTCTTTCATGAGGGCTCTAATAAATTCACCAATGCCTTGCCCTATGTGCTTCAATGGCTCTGTTACAAAATTGGTGAACGTAACAGCCAATGCCTAAAACAATGGACAGAAACAAAAAATTGGTTTTGATAGCTTCACTAGAAAACAAGATAGAAATGTTTAGGTTAGAAATGGAGAATACCTTTGTTGGAGGAACGAGCAAAATAGGATTTACTAACAGCGTTTCGTAATACTTTTGACAAGGATCATCCTGGAAGGTCCATGAGCTTCTAAGCCATTCTAGAGTGAAAAGGGAAGAAACTGTACAACTATACATACAAAGCAGGAACTGTATTCCAGCTGGAAAAATAAATTATTTATAAACTGATACTTAAAATCGCTTTGAAGCCAATTTTTGAGACAATTCTACACTAGACAATGGATGCCATTATCCCCCAGAGAAGATGATAGGAGAACACCAGTACTTTAGCAATTTGCCATTATAAAAAGTTACTTGAGTGCACCACTGAGGCACAGACATTACGTGTGGGGCATTTTTCACAGGAGGCTATGTCCAGACGGGCAGTTTTCAGAGCACTATTATCAACAGCTGGAGAAGTCCATCCAGATTTTTAGTGTCAATTTTATTTTTGCATTTTTTTGAACTTATACACAAGTATATTCAATAAATTTTATAAAGAATCACAACATCATACACTATTCCACTTAGGTGTCTCCTTTTGATGACCCATCCAACCTGTCAATGGCAAAGCATTTACTACTGCTCCTAAAATCTTAATTTTCATTTTTTTTTAAATTTGGCAAATCTACCAAGTATCTTGGAAGTGACAAATACAGTGAGATGATACAGCCATAAAAAATTAGATTGCTGAATCATAAACCAGCAATCTGAGATTGCATCTCTGTGTCCTTGAGCTTCTTCACTAAGATTAATTTAGATCGATTATATCCTCCAACTAAAAACAAAGAGGTAGAAAATTTGAGATTCAAGTAAGTACCATTTGTGAATGCTAGTGTTCAACAGAAGTGTACCATCAGTTCTAACTTGGAGGGATGTCCCAGTATCATCAGTTGGGAGTCCCCTCCAGCACCAACTGCTGTCTGAGATCAGAGTGAAGAGAGGGGCCAGGAAGGCAGTTCCATCCATCTTGTCTCCTGCACTGTGCTTAATATAATATAATATAATATAATATAATATAATATAATATAATATAATATAATATAATATAATATAATATAATATAGTATAGTATAGTATAATATAATAAATATAATAAATATAATATAATAAATATAATAAATATAATATAATATAATATATTGTATATACATATAATATTGATAATATTATAATGCAATACAATATAATACTACAAATAATAACATATTATAATTATATATTTTATATTAAACGTAATATTAAAAATAATATTACAGTATAATGTTATAGTACAATGTAATATATAATATTAATATTGTGCTGTGGTAATATATTATATTTACTTGTTACTTGTAAGCTGCTCTGAGTCCCCTTCGGGGTGAGAAGGGCGTCATATAAATGTCATAAATAAATGAATAAATAAATAAGAGTCCTTATATGTTTTAGAAGATGTGGGTTAATGCAGTTGCAGATTGCTCCTGAGGTGTTCTTAACTAATAAGAGTCAAAAGAAGCTTTCAAATCACTGAAACTAATCACTTAACTAATAAGAGTCAAAAGAAGCTTTCAAATCACTGAAAGCCACATAGACATGTTTTAAAATTCAAAGCATGAATTTATCAATAATACGTTGCAGCATGAAGCAGTGTTTGAGAGTTGATGGAACCCAACCTACTCTGGAATAAGCAGAACATGATTCTCGATCTAGTCAAGAAGAGACCTAGCACTGATCTTCAACAGTATTGTTACTTACAATGCATGGAACAATTTCTCCTACCACAATTCACTTTCCCTGAATGTGAGCCAGAATTGATCCTTGTCTGATTCAGCAAAGTAATTTTATATTTCTGCACACAAATAAGAATGAGTTCATTTTAATCTGCAAGACTCTGCAAGATCAGAGTTCAAATTCCACACTTAGCCATGGAAACCCATGGGTGACCATGGACAAGAGGAAGTAATGGCAGTTCTTATCTGAACAAATGCTCCCAGAAACCCTAGGTGAAGGTTGCTGTAAGACAATTGATTTGAAGGTACATAACAATAACAAAAGATGTGTACATACATGAAAGAGAAAGTCACTGTTTCTATAATCTTGTTAGAGAAAATTAAATACATTTGTTGGTTTGACTTTGGCAGACTTGATTATTCATGCATTTGATTAAAATGTTCTCTCTACATCAGTCGTTCTCAACTTTTCTAATGCCGTGACCCCTAAATAAAGTTTTTCGCGTTGTGGTGACCCCCAATCATATTTTCGTTGTTACTTCATAAATAATTTTGCTACTCTTATGAATTCTAATCAAATATCTAATATGCAGGATGTATTTTCATTGTTACAAATTGAACACAATTAAAGCATAGTGATTAATCACAAAAACAGTATGTTTGGGGGAGTATGGACAACAGATGATGGAATTTGCAGTACCTTCAACCAATTCAACTCTGACTTCCACAGACCACTGAGATTCCCCATGAATTACTGGCCTGGACCAAACTTGGCACACAGAATCTTCCATGACCAACAGAAAATACTGGAGGAGGTTGGGAGGAATTGACAGTGATTTATGGGAGATGTAGTTCACCTACATCTGGAAAGCACTGTGAACCCAAATTACCATAGATCTGACAAAACTTGGCATGAATACTCAATATGCCCAAATTTGAACAATGGTGAAGTTTAGGGAAAATGGATCTTGAAATTTGGGAGTTGCAGTTGCTGGGATTTATAGTTCCTCTGCCATCAAAGAGCATCCCGAACTCCAACAAAAATGGAATTGAACAAGCTTGGCAGAACTCCCATAACCAACAGAAATTACTGGAGAGGTTTGGAGTTATTTTCCTGGCATGTGGAAGTTGTTGGGGTGTATAGTTCCCCTGCCATCAAAGATCAGTGAGATTCTATCCAAAGGAAGCTGACCATAGAGTTGTGATGATGGAACTAGAAATCATTAGAGATGTCTTATCTTAGGTAAAAACATATCCCATATTATAAAGATAAACAATACCCTTGCACCTGGGGAAACACTGCCTTCATTTTCGCCTACTGCTATTATCCACAGTTGTCTGTTCTCATGTAAGTTCAGGAACATATCATTTGCAGGTATAGGGAGTTGTTTAAAAATCAAATGTAACAAGAAAATGCGGGATAGAAAATGAAAGTACACCACTCACCCATAATGCTATCACTCCAATGGATCTTTTCTGCACATACTTCATCAAAATTGCCCACTGTAGCTACTTCAGCTTGATGCTGGGCAAAGGCTATCTATAACATAAAATATTAACATGAATAAAATCACTGAACAAATTTCATTTTCTGAAATCTTTCTTTTCCAAAGGGGCTTAAAATGAACATCTAAACTGCAGTTCAAATTCAGTCAAGATTTATTGCTGGGAAACCCAACAGCTAAACTTTCAAAACTAGTGATTGCTGCTTTCATATGCAGTGGATCCTTGTTATTCACTGGGGTTTGGCTCCACGACCCTTCATGGATACCACAATCCAGGGAGGCTCAAATTCAATTATATACAATGGCCTTATATAAGTGGCAACATCAATGTTTGTTTTTTGAATTATATTTTTTTTGTAGGGGGGGGTAATATTTTCCATCTGAGGAGGGTCACATCAATGGATATGAGGGCCAGTTCTACAGCAGAAGTGTGCAATAAAAACCCTGTAACAACAGCTTCAAAATATATCATTACTGTAAGACAGATTACATGGCTTTTAAAATGAAACTTTCTGTGTCTCTGATATAAAGTTTGTATTATTTAATTATGGCAGAGGGAAACTTATGCTACAATCTTCAATGGGATTGCCTGGCTCAGGGCTATGGCTTCCTTGATGGATTCTATCACTGTTACCTTATATAGATACATCCAGTTCCATCCAAAGCTGATGAGAAAACTTATGAACATAATCCGTTTCAGCTGGGTAAACCAACCAATGTGTGTCCATAGTTCTGTAGCAACAATTACAGAAATGCACGCTAAACATAGAAGTACCTTTTAGAAAACAGGAGACAAAAAAATTGATAGGAATTGCAAATTACTTTTGGTTTTACAGCTAAATTTTTTAAAATCCCCTAAAAATCAACACACTTAAATAATATTTTTTTAAAAAAAAAAAAAACCCTGAAATCAGGAAACTTCACAAAAATTAAGCTTGTGGGGAAGGATTTTATTTATTTAGAACTTTTATATACCGGTCTTCTCCACCTCCGGAGAGGGACTCAGGCCGGTTTACAACAAGATTTATGAACAGTAGTTTAAAAACATCACAAACCCATAACATACTAATACATAAAATACATTAAAAAGCAGTCATATACTTATAAGGCCAAGTCGTCAAAGAGAAATCACAATTCATTATTCATTACCATCCATCCGTGTGGTCAAAAGTTATTGACTTACTCATCAAATGCTAAATTCCAGAGCCAAGTGAACTTGATTAGTGAACTGAAATCTAATCATGTTGAATGACCATGTTAAACACTTATTATTCACATAATAGCATTTAATAGCTATAATTTTATATTTAGTTTAGAAATAACCTAACACTAAAATAAATATAGATTTATATTTAATTTAGAAGTACAACTTAGATGCCATCAAACTGAACTTAGACTTTTTACTATTACTTACTTACTTACTTAGGTGATCCCTCGAGTAGGATAGTGTTCCAGAATCAGTATTCTTGTGGGTCCGTAGGGGACTGTGGAGTCCTATTCTTGATCTGCATGTTCTCCCTCAGTGAGGGCATTGGTTTCCAGGTGGAAGACGGTCCCAGTCGGGGTTGGCTTGATGGCCTTCCTCTTGGCACATTTCTCTCTTTCACCCTCCATTCGTGCCTCTTCAAATTCTGCAGCACTGCTGGTCACAGCTGACCTCCAGCTGGAGCGCTCAAGGGCCAGGGCTTCCCAGTTCTCAGTGTCTATGCCAGAGTTTTTAAGGTTGGCTTTGAGCCCATCTTTAAATCTCTTTTCCTGTCCCACCAACATTCTGTTTTCCGTTCTTGAGTTCGGAGTAGAGCAACTGCTTTGGGAGACGGTGGTCGGGCATCCGGACAACGTGGCCGGTCCAGCGGAGTTGATGGCGGAGGACCATCGCTTCAATGCTGGTGGTCTTTGCTTCTTCCAGCACGCTGATGTTTGTCCACCTGTCTTCCCAAGAGATTTGCAGGATTTTCTGGAGGCAGCGCTGATGGAATCGTTCCAGGAGTTGCATGTGGCGTCTGTAGACAGTCCACGTTTCGCAGGCATATAGCAGGGTTGGGAGGACAATAGCTTTATAAACAAGCACCTTGGTATCCCTACGGATGTCCTGGTCCTCAAACACTCTCTGCTTCATTCGGAAAAATGCCACACTTGCAGAGCTCAGGCAGTGTTGTATTTCAGTGTCGATGTTGGCCTTGGTGGAGAGGTGGCTGCCAAGGTAGCAGAAATGGTCAACATTTTCTAATGTTACACCATTAAGCTGTATCTCTGGCATTGAAAGGGGTTGGCTGATGACTGCTGCAACAGCACTTTGGTTTTCTCGATGTTCAATGACAGGCCGAGCTTCTCGTATGCTTCTGCGAAGGTGTTTAGAGTGGCTTGTAGATCTTCTGAATGTGCACAAATGACGTTGTCCTCGGCATACTGGAGTTCTATAACAGATGTTGTTGTAACATTGTTTTTGACTTTCAGTCTGCTGAGGTTAAACAGCTTGCCATCTGTCAGATAGGTGATTTCTGCTCCACTGGGAAGCTTCCCATCAACAAGATGATGTATCATTGCAATGAAGATGGAGAATAAAGTTGGGGCAATAACACATCCCTGTTTGATACCTGATTCCACTGGAATCAGCTAATACTTCAATGTTTTTTTTCTTAGATAGGCAGCATTATCAGGAGGTTTATTGAGTATCTTTTAGGAAATCATTCATAGCTAGTCAGTTCTATGTCAGTCTCAAATTATTCAGCCATAATATACTGCTAACTGAGTGAATGAACAAGACAGAAGAGACACCCAGGTACCAAAAAGAGAAAGCACAGAATGATATCTGAAGTAAAATAGCACAAGAACAATTAACACAATGCCTCCCAAATGTTTTGGTCTGTAGGTCCCATAATCCCAATCCTACATGGTCAGGAACTCATACAATCACAGAATTGTAAGGGATTATCGTTCAAAACATCTGAAGGGCACCAGGTTGCCCATTCTTGTAGTCACATCCAGAGCTTGGAAAAACTGTAGGCTTGGACTACAGGCCCCAGAATTCCTTATGAGCAATTGTCATCTCAAAATAATGTTTCCGGGTTCTGGTAGTGACTATAATGTCAAAAAGAATATTACTGGCAAAAATTGATCTTACCATGAATGCAGTGTATGGGTCAATTCCAAATGAATCCTCAAACTTCCATTTCCATGCTTCGTAATCATGATGTTTGAAATTAATCAGAATATCACTAAGTGCATCATCTAGAGCAGCTGATTTCCAGCCCTCTTCATTAAGGAATCTGTTAATTTCGTTATATGTCTGTTTAGTGAGGATAATCTCAGCATCATAGTGCATATCCCCGGAGCTATCATCAGGCTAAAAGAAAAGAATACAAAACAGCAGGTTTGCAAAAACAAAGCAATCTGATAGCAAATCAATTGAACATTTTCAGGTTATCTCCTGAATGAATGCCATCTAAACAGGCAAAGAATTGTAATGCCTGAAACTGACTAGCAGCACAGAGCACAATGAAACTTGTATTTTTTCTTCTTCCTGTTTGCTAAGTTGTTCTGTGCAATTAATTAATTATAATTCATTTATTATAATTAAAATATTTATAGCCATTCACATAGTATGAGATTTCTGGGGTATGTACAAGCAAAATAAATGCAAACAATAAAAAACATTTTTTAGAAAGTAAAATAATAAAATACTTTTAACTGAGTAAAATTATATTAAACAATATCATAATAGATGCAGAAGGCTCAAAACCAGGGACTTTAGCTTAAAATATATGAATATATGAATGTCTAGGTTTTTTTTCCCTCCTGATTATGTCCTAAATTGCAAAAATAAAAGAAATTAGAAAATCAAAAGCCATCCTACAAACATGACTATCTTGTTACTGCTTTTCTCATGTTCATTGAGTTGGCCAACAACTTAAATTATACACACTAATAAATATTTCTGAAGAATCAGTAAATAAATGGATTCAATAAAGGATTGGGATCCAAGGTATACTTGAATGCTTCATTTTAGCAACGGGTCTTTCGTTCACCTAAGATCACACTTAACTTTTAGTAAGAGAATATTTATCTTTAACAATTAAAATGTTCAATATTTTTGTTCAACATATACTCACTAGACCAATTCTTCCAGCTTCGTTTAAAACCTTATTCAAGTACCTCTTAAAAACATGGATGCTATTGCTTTCATATAACTTGGCTTTATTTTTCTTTTCATATTCCTCAACCTACAAAAATAAAGTGTTTCAAGATAGTCACATATTTCCACTATAACAGTTCTGTACTTTACACAGTATCTTATATGACAGACAATGAAAAGTTAGTTCCAGTTAAGTAATAATCTAGTCAGGCTTGCATATTTCTCAAACTGACATGTAGCTGTTTACTTTCTGTCAGGACTAAGTTAACCACATAGGCATTCAAAATTTTTTATAAAGTCTCAAATCTTGACTGCTTTAACTCTGCCATAAAAAGTTTCTTTCTGTTTTAGTGATCTAACAAGACAGGTACTTATAGCTATTTGCTAAGATACATATAGGTGCATTAACTGAAGGGAGGTTCCATTGAAACTGAAGAAGACTTCTAAGAAAGATCTGGACTGGGTATGTAATTCTGCATTTGCTGCTGTCAACAGCAAAACTCTTCATTTATTTTATTGGACAAGAAATTCAGTTCAACTAGTTATAAGTACCATCTTTTTGAAATACCCTGTATTTATTCTTGCAATTATTTTAGAAATAGAAGATTATCTACTACTCCATTTCTGACACCATATTCTATTAGATATACATTTAATTTATAGATATTTACAAATGAACATGATTATCAATCAATGGTACTTCATCAAAAACAATCTATAAAATATAAAACTGTATACATGTGAACTAACCTTCAGAATGAGAGAATCCAATTTCCTTTGGCACTGGGAAATATCCACAGTTACTTTTGCCACTGCTTCTGTTGATACTTTCGTATTTTCAGAATCACCTTTATTCACCTGCTGTAAATTTAAAAACATGTATCTTGTGTTTCTGGTTTCTTTGTTTTTTGCATTTTCTGTGTGAATATTGGAATTTTAAAATCTGGTTGCTTCTTTCTGCCTATTATTTAGGAAATAGAGAACTAGATACAAGGAGATAAAAAGAAATGTGCTACTCGTTATAATTCTACATAGAATACTGGATCCAAACTTAGTCATGTTTAAAGATCATGCATGTAGAGTGCAGAAAAAGTGGCCCTCCAAAGGTTGCTGAATTATAACTACAAGGGTATTGTACATTATGCCCAATATTCTGTCAATGGCCTCTCCCCACAGCAAGGTAAGGAAACACATCAATCACAGTCTCCTTTAGACTATCAGCTAATTTATTATACAACTATTTACATTAGAAGCTAAGCACATAGTAAAAAACCGCTTCTTCTGCATCGGCAGCTACATCGCAAAGAATAGAACACAGTTGTTATCAGCATTAGTCCACACCTCCTGCATTCCAGAGTGACGTATGAAGTACAATGCACTACGTATGACATGCAATGCGTCTATTGCTTTCTGGACCATGATTTATAACCTCTCTAGGAATGCCGTTTCTCTTCATGGTACAGTTAACCCTTTCCACACAGGAATTCTCTCAGCACATAGCATTACATTTTAAACATACCAACAAACTTTGAAATCTACATTACACATTTTCGAAACAGATCAACATATTCCTCACCACTGGCTATACTAGCAATCTATCAAGAGTTGCAGTTCAGCAACATCTGGAGGGGCATATAATTCTTACCCATACTCTACCTTATGTTTTTACAGTGATCCTAGAACAATTCTTCAATAGCTTTTACTCATCTTTATTTTATAATATTCCTGAAAGCACAGTAATTATTGGGGAAAAAAACAGACTCAAAAATTTAAAAATGCATAACTACATTTTTACCTTATAAGGCTTTCTCATTGTTCCCGAAGCTGCATCATAATTCAGCATATCTGTTGGATCAATCCAGTCATCATCCTGAGCCTCAGTCCTTCCTATTAGCAGGATTCCACACAGTACCAGAGAAATCAGCATCTTCTGTCAGAAAATACAATTGGTGGGTTAGTACAGGGCTTCTTAAACTTTTCCACTTGCAACCCCTTTTGGCCTGAGAAATTTGTATGTGACCCTGGGTATATAAGTATATAAAATAGGTATAAAATCAAACAATTACTAATAAAAAAATGAGCATTTGAAAGGCTTGCTAAACAGGCTGATTTTTATTTTATGAAGTACATCTGAAGCATCTGCAGAGTCCACTGTAAACACTTGACATCAGATTTATGTAAATGTATAAAATAGCCACTAGGTTCACTGTTGCCAAATTTTTCAGGACCCCAACACTGAGACAAGGGGACCCCATTTGGGCCTCTTTTTTTTGGTCGTGTCAGGAGCGACTTGAGAAACTTCAAGTTGCTTCTGGTGTGAGAGAATTGGCAGTCTGGAAGGACGTTGCCCAGAGGACGGCCGGATGTTGTGATGTTTTAACATCCTTGTGGGAGGCTTCTCTCATGTCCCCGCATGAGGACCTGGAGCTGATAGAGGGAGCTCATCCGCTCTCTCCCCGGATTTGAACCTGCGAGCTGTCAGTCTTCAGTCCTGCCGGCACAGGGGTTTAACCCACTGCGCCATTTGGGACTGAGACCCATAGTTTAAGCAGTGGGTTAGTAAAGTGCTAGATCCTTTGGGTCTACCTAACACAGCCTTCTCATAATTTCTTTCTCTATGGAGGGCTATATGGGATATCCCATGAGTGGGATAGCTTGTGCAATGGAACTTCCATCTGCCCTCTTCCTTTATATCAAAGCTGTGTATGTGTATCTGTGTACAGAGGTGCCAAAAGAAAAAAAACGGGGGGGGGGGGATAGCACATTGTGGATATATGAAGAGGAGAACTCATTCCATCAGCAGTTTCTATTTGATGGATTAGTGAGCAGTGAGAAGGAAGAGTGCTTTATGTCACCATATTTCACTGACTCCAAGGCACCCTCCCCCCTCTGGCACCAACTGCTGCTCTGACCAGAGTGAAGACAGAGGGGAGCAGAAGACATTTCCATCTTGTCTTTTCTAATAATATAATAAAGTATATTGTATATACATATAATATTTATAATATTATAATGTAATACAATATAATACTAGTAATAAGAATACAATATTATATTTATATATTTGCATTACATGTAATATTACTAATAATATTACAATGTAATGGTATAGTGCAATATAGTAATATAAAATACTGATATTGTACTATGCTAATAATATAATATATTGTATGAAAATATATCTTGTAAGCCACTCTGAGTCCCCTTTGGGGTTAGAAGGGTGGCATATAAATGCTGTAAATAAATAAATAAATAAATAAATAAGGCATGCCCCATTTTTGAAGCTTCAATTTAAAAACCGCTGTGAGTCGCCTTCGGGCTTGAGATACACAGCGTTATATAAGCTGTATATATAATAAATATATAATGTTATATAATAAATAAATAATTTTCCTAGAATATTTTTTAGAATTTTCTCTGCATGCACAATAACTCTTTTTTGTTTTAATATGACTAAGTAGTGCAATCTTTTTTGTGAAGTAAGGAAGGAGTGTGAAGAAATCCACAAGTTATCTTGCCAACATGAATTTATTTTCCTAACTCTTTAGGCCTATTAGGGAGACAGTGAAACAGGAAGTGGCATTTCATTCAGTCAGATGGCAAACAGCTATCTGGCTGGGGACAAACGGAAAGGGCTGTCAGAGTTTTTTTGGGGTTGGAAGCCTTCCTCCTCCTTGCAGTGATTCCCAGCCTTTGGGAATCCAGATCCAACAGTTACTAACAGCTGGTTAGTAAATGGGGGGAAAATACTGGAATTTAAACTGAAATCTAAGCATAAGTGTAGAAGAGGGAAGGCAGAAGCCACAGGCAATAGAGAGCCAAAGGAAAAGGAGACGGAAGCAGAAAAATAAGTCAGAGCATGTGGTTTGGTCTGTTGGGAAACAGATTGGGGCAGAAAAAAGCATACCAATAGACCTCTGTAAAGAACTGCTTGCCTGAAACTTGTTATCTGTAATAACAAGACATTTAACAATAATATACTATCACGATTACAATAGTTTACAACTTTGTTTCAAACAAACCCATCCTCCACTGAATTCATAATACATTGCTGAAACGCAGCACTCTTTTTTCCAATCTCTTCTTTTGCATGTTCACGAAATGGTATTTATCTAGTTGTTAATCCAAAATTTCACTTAATCCTTTGATGGTTAAATTCACCATTGCTTTGATATGTATAATTAAGCAATGGTTTCAATGAAAAACCACATACAGTAAGTCTTCTTTGAATAGGATTTTCCTCTTTAATTTATAGGTTAACTTCTCTATTTTGTTCAACAAATTATTGATAGGTTCTTGTAGGTTTTTTCAGGCTATAGGGCCATGTTCTAGAGGCATTTCTCCTGACGTTTCGCCTGCATCTATGGCAAGCATCCTCAGAGGTAGTGAGGTCACTACCTCTGAGGATGCTTGCCATAGATGCAGGCGAAACGTCAGGAGAAATGCCTCTAGAACATTGCCCTATAGCCTGAAAAAACCCACAAGAACCTAGTGATTCCAGCCATGAAAGCCTTTCGACAATACATTATTGATAAATTCTTTAACTTTCCCCCCAAGATTTCTAGCCTTGCTGCACTTAAGTGATGTGTTGTCTTTATCTAACAAATCTTTATTTTCATTACCTAATAAATACCTCATTAGGAATGCCCTAGTAAAATAAACGGTTTCATGCATTATTCAAGTTATTCAAGATATAGCTTCATCCCAGAACCTTTGGACCTTTGCACATGTGGTTCCAGCCTCCTATTTCTACCATAGTAACCCATAATACTGGGCTTAAACAAGTGCGATCTTTGTCCTCATTACAAATCCTTTAAATATGTCACTACATTTCAACTAAGCAATCTGAGTGACACACTCTACCCCCCATCCCATCTGTATGTTTTAGTATGAGCACTAAAAAAGACCCCAATACCCTAACCTTTATCAAATATCTAACTTGTGAAGTCTTAGCAATGAAAGCTGATGGCACCAGATCCTGTTTGATTTTAGAAGCTAAACAGGGTGAGCCCTGGTTTGTACTTGGATGGATGGCATCTTCAGGGGATCCTCTGCCTCAGATGCAGGTTAAATGTCAGGAGAAAAACCTGCTAGAACATGGCCATACAGCCCAGAAACCAGACATTATTCTGACCATGAAAGCCTTCAACATTACTGGCTATATTTCAGAGGAAAGAAATGGCAAACCACCTGTGAGTCTTCCTTGCTGAAGAAAACTTTGGGAAACTAACGCAGCTGTCATAAGTTGACAAGTAACTTGAAGGCACATAATAATAATAATAATAATAATAATAATAATAATAATAATAATTAATAATAATAATCTTTCTTTATACCCCACCACCATCTCTCCGATAGGGACTCGGGCCGGCTTACATGAGGCCAAGCCCAAACAACAAATTACAGCAAATAAAACCGAAACGCAAACCGAAATGCACCTATTCATCAGCTATTGTTTCATTATTGAGTTAAAACAATATTGTATCTAACCAACAGTGTTATGAAAACAAGAAAGCCACTCTATCTTTGTATTGCTAAGTGTTGTCTCCAGCAGACATGAGGTGTGGTTTTATCTTACAGCAGGAAATTTCATATTTCCTTCACAGTGATGTGACATAATTTCCTAAAACATATCCACAAGATGAAAAGACTACTGGCTCTCCCCAAGTTAAGAACAGGATCATTTCTGTAGGTTTGTTCATAAGGTGAATGTGTTTGTAATTTGGAACAGGTAGTTTTTAAGTGTAACTCCAGCCAAATGAGATATTTATTTATTTACTGTATTTGTTTACCGCCTTCCTCAGCCTGCAGGTGACTCAAGGTGATTTACAGAGTAAAATTCAATGTCCACAGTACCATAAATACAATTAAAAACGTTAACATATAATAAAAACCATAAAAAATTAATAAAACATAAATCCATAGTGTCTCCTTGTTGAAAACATTTTCCTGTCCCATCGTCTAGTCCAGGGGTCCTCAACCTTTTTAAACAGAGGGCCAGGTCACAGTTCCTCAAACTGTTGGAGGGTTGGATTATAATTTGAAAAAAAAACATGAATGAATTCCTATGCACATTGCACATATCTTAATTGTAGTGCAAAAAACACTTAAAAACAATACAATTATCAAAATGAAGAGCAATTTTAACAAATATAAACTTATTAGTATTTTAATGGGAAGTGTGGGCCTGCTTTTGGCTGATAAGATAGGATTGTTGTTGTTGTTGTTGTTGTGTGCTTTCAAGTTGTTTCAGACTTAGGTTGACCCTGAGCGAGGGCCGGGTAAATGAAAACTTTGGGAAACTAACGCAGTTGCCATAAGTTGACAAGTAACTTGAAAGCACATACATCTATTCATCAGCTATTATTTCATTATTGACTTAAAACAATATTGTATCTAACTGACAGTGTTATGAAAACAAGAAAGCCACTCTCTCTATCTTTGCATTGCTAAGTGGTGTCTCCAGCAGGCATGAGGTGTGGTTTCTTACAGCATAAAATTTCATATTTCCTTCACAGTGATGTGACATAATTTCCTAAAACATTTGCACAAGATGAAAAGTACAGGCTATCCCCAAGTTAAGAACAAGATAGGTTTGCCTGTAAGCTGAATGTGTTTATAATTTGGAATAGGTACAGTTTTAAGTGTAACTCCTGCCAAATAGAAATATGCAGGAATATATTAGATTTGGATAGCATAGGGAAGAGTTCACACCCCTGTGGTGTTTGTTTTGCTGACTGTGCCCCTGTTCAGATTTCACCTCACTTTCTGTCCCTGTGATAAATGAGTTCTGAAAAAAAACCTGGCTTGTTGTGGAAACAAGAATTGGTGAGAAAACTTCAGTGGAGACCCCTTTTCCCCATGATAACTCTTCCACGAGTGAATTTCCCTTCCTAATGTTTCACCCCCGTTCTTAACTATGAGTTGTTT